ATTAGACGAAAAGAATGCATGTGGTCGGCTGTTAAATGTATTAACATGTTATTTTTTAGACATCAAGGAATATTTTAGCTAGATTTTTGGTTTACTTAATATATAACGTTCTTAAAAAGTTAAACTTTAATTAATAAAGGAGATAGAAAAAAATATATATTTTTGTTAACTCGAATGTCATGCATGTATCTTTTAAATTTTTAATCATCTTTACAATAATTATAGTTTAACTTGTGGCCTCTCAAAAACATTATCCTTCTAGCTAGCACTAAAAAGATAAATTAATGGAAGCATCATTTTCATTTATAACAAAAGCATATGAAATCATGGTATTCCACTACAGTATTTTTATGCATGGCTAGCTATTTTGTGGTTAAAGATGAATGGAGAAGGATAATTTAGATTAATTATTGATTAATTTCCTTCCAAAGAAATAAATTACTGCTTTTTGAGAATTTTTTTTTTCCCAAAGAACTCATTTTAATTTTTACCTTTACCACAAAATGAAAGAGGAACTAACAATCTATTGGTTTAAGTAAAAAAAATTCGATTTCTCTTAAATAAAATCTCAAGTTCGAGTCTCATAAATGAAAAAATAAGTATTAAAAAAGTTTCTTTATTTGTAGAATCTAACATGGCTTGATTTCATATTAGTGAGAATTTAATGTAATTTTCAGATACCAAAAGGTTAATATATTAAAAAAAAAAAAAAAAAAAACCAACAACAACAAAGTGAGAGAGGGAGAGAGATGATCGATCACCACTAATTAAGAACCCTTACAAAGTAAACTTGTAACGTGATTGATGACCTTCCTGAGAATTCAAAGTACGTATAAATGAAGTTGCAAGTTGTAATTATTACTGTTTGTATTCCGTTGTCAAAAATTAGAAGGAAGAAACCAATAATGTCAAAAGAAAATATCTTCTGCTAAGCGTGTTTAGATAATTCATGAGGCTGACCATTCGCATATATATGCATCCTAGTTAGCTAGAAAAGCAGGTGTTTAGTGCCGCTTGACCACTCGTGTCTCAGGTGGGATCAATGTGCAGTAACTATATATGATTTGATTCTGCATCAATGTATATATTTGTTTATAGTTCAAATCTCTTCTCTAAATAAGGAATTTTAAATTTAAATTATAAATGTATAAAAAAGTGATGTGGCTCTTTGTTAGAGTTCATTAATTGTGAGATAATATCTGATTCCCACTAAAGGATAATGTCGAGAACTACAATAATGTTACCAACGTATAGAACTTTGGTAATATTGTTATAAACAAATTGGGATAAGAATTATTTGTGTGTCTTTTTCTTTTTGGAGATCGAATGTGATGTTTCATAACCATCAATTCTGCACTTTGCAATTAATGGAAAAAGTATTTTTTTTCTTTCTTTCCATGACAAATATTAGAGTTTGGTACACAGCATGCTCTGCAGCTTGAACAAGTAGTAATATAATATCTATAGTAAAACATATTGGGGCTTTCCAAAAAAAAAAAAAAAAAAAAAGGGTAAAACATATTGGGGCGGAGAGGAGCCGGAATTATCAGCTGGGGCTACATGGAATGGCTGGAGATGTGGACGCGTAGTCCACGTAGGACGGTGGTGGGTCGGCTGCAGTCGCCAATCATGCGGCGGACCGCATCATTGAACTCATAAGAGCCTCCTCCGATTGGACCCCACACACCACCAAAGCTTGGGGCGGTGAACCAAAAGAAACCACCCAGAGTTAATAATAAAAATGCTGGGATAAGGAGTTAGCGTAACCGGCAAAAGGAGATCCTTTAGGGGGTCCTATAAGGATCTCAGCCCCCTTTGTGACATCGACCACCCTCCAAACTTGACTCTTTTTCTTTCTCTTTCCGTCTCAATCCACGATTAACACCTTACCCTTCAATGTTTTATGTTTGTTAGGGTGATTTTTTTTTAGTGGTTGGTGCAAGAAAACCCACCTTTTAGTTTTTGAATTGAAAATTTGATTGTCTTGTTTCTTTTTTGAGCCAAAAACCCTTCTTCAACTTCACTCTTCTACACTCCAAGGTGTGAAACTCAAGCCTCTTTCTCTAGGGACATCAACTATCATTGCACCCCGTTGTAGGTACTAATTCTAACAAATTTCTATCGACAAAGTAATAAAAAAATATTACTTTCTAGAAACCCTACATATGGGACACATTCTTTCACCAAGGAGACTAGAATTGAAAATCACATTAATATTCCTGTGCACTAAGAGATATCCCAAATAGTTAAGGATATTTTGTACAAAGTAATAAGTTAAAATATCTTAAAAAGTGATTCAACTAGTTAAGAGTAAAAAATTTAAAATTAAAGATATTGAATTTAAATCTTAATTTGAATGAAAAAGAATTTAAAAAAATAAAAGAACTTTTCCTTTTAATATAATATATTATTAAATATAAAAAATAAAATAAAATAAACCACCTCTTCGTTGCAAACACATACTCGACAAGGATATGGCTGGATGTCTTCTCTAAATTAAGTAAAATATTCCTCCATCCATTTCTAACCGAACCTATCAAGCTTTCTTAGTTAGTAAGAAAACTAAGAAAATAACCCTTTCATCACACTTCGGTAAAAAAGTCTTTGTTTAGATTGAGGTTATGAATTCAAGTTTCTTCCGTGTATTAACTCTTAATGTCCAACAAAGAAAAAAACAGAAGAATTCATCAGAACTTCTATATGCATGAAATTGATTTAATTATTGAAGAATAGTTTTCTCTCTTTCTTTCTTGACCTTTGCTATCTCCTGTTTTATTGTTTACAATTAGATGTACCAAAAAAATAGTCAATCAGATAATTTTTTTTTTTAATTTGTTTTTGCGACTTTTGTTTGTTTTTTCTTGATTTCTGTGGAATTTTAAAAGTAATATGTCTTCAGTTAATGTGTCCATTCTATGAGACGATGATTGATCATTATGTAAATTAGAGTGGATATTTCCTGTGGCTGATTTACATATGATCATCCTTATAAAGCCGCAACTGATTGATGGAAAACTGCAACAACATGTTTGTTTCTTTGATATTAATTAGAATAATCATTAAGAAAAATATCTATATACCATGTGTTAAAGGGCTTGAAACTTTGAATCAAAAAAAAAAAAAAAATGTAAAAGAAAAAAGGAAAAAAAATGTAAAAGAAAAAAGGAAAAAAAATGTAAAAGCAGTGACAGGTACAGATCTTCAATGATGTGAATGGTTCCGATTCATTGTAATCAAACACCAAAACTTTAGAAGTTACATTTATTTCAAAAAAGAGAACCCAAAACTTTAGGAAAATAGAAGCAAACTACAATATTATATGAAAAAAAAAAAAAAAAGGAGGCAAGAACCTCCTTGAGGGTTACTCTAGTCAATCAGAGCACGTGTTCTATTACATGTCACTCTCCCGTTGGTTTGCCGACTGTGATAACTCTTAAGGTTGGATGTAGAGGATCACAAAGGGTATATTGTAATGGATCATTGATTGGGAAAGGAGTGGGGAAAATGCAGAGAGGAAGTGCCAAAATGATGGTCACACAGGTAGTGAAGAGAAGTGTTGGTGTTTAGAAATAGGGAAAATTTTGAGGGTTCCAATTGAAATCGATTAAAACGCGTACGAATTGACTTGCTAGATCTGTTTGCTTCATCCTGGGTTTCTAGATGCAAAGATTTTTGGACCTTTGATTCGATTTACATACGTGTTTGCGCTGCTTTTCTTGTAAAAATTAAAAAAGTTGTGATTCTAATTGATGTCTTACCTTTTCTTACCTTTATGTAATTTTCATGCCTATTGAGTTGATCTTTCTTGGACCATAGTAATCTGTTCCTTGTCTAATTGGATTTCCATGTACACAAACTATAAGAACCGTGTACGATGGGATTTAACTTACAATCAAAACAGACAACAACTGATACAATGTAAATTCTAACGTCATCATTTCATCAGACAATCATAGATTAGATATATATAGTTAAGGTTGGAACTTGGAACTTTAATCAATTCTCATAAACCAAGAAGAGACAATTTCCATATAAACCGGTCATGTTACATGATCTTCTTCCACACTTCTCAAATGTTATAAGAACAAAATGGACTCATCGCATAAAAGCTGTATCATAGCAAGAAATAATATATGATTACATTTCGATGTGTGGTGTCCACAAACTCCATAATAATTTCTTCTTGATGCCTTTCTTGGTTTCCTTTGCAGATATGGTTCTGACCCCTACTTGGAGATTGGGTAACTCTCATGATATCGGGGGGGTGAACGTGTGGCTCAATATATACTTCAACCACAATTCTTTAACCCATTTTCTCAAAGTAACTTGAGTTTGATCATTATAATCGTCCACTATGAGTACAATTGATGAACAAGGATTAACTCCATCATGTAAATGTCTTTTTATCTAAACTTAATCACAATGCATTAGACATTAAGCATTCTCACCCGTTATTCAACTCAACAAATTGCAGCTTGGAGTTGAACATCATTAACTTTTCATAACATTTGTAACTGCTTTATCAAAAACTAAGTGATTAAAAAACATACTGAGATATTGAAAAAGTTTGATGTGCAAATCTATACTTTCTTAATTTTTTCATGTCAAGAAAAAATAAATAAAAGTGAAATTGGGCCCGGGGGGGGGGGAGAAAGAAAAGCAAAAAACCTGTTGGACTAGTATGAATGGCTCTTTGAAGTTTCAACTGGCTTTCGGCCCAAAAAAAGTTTGAATTGGAGCAACACTGCTGGGCCCAACACCCAGGTGAATTCATGAAGTGGCCAAGTTTTTATCTTGAACCCAACCCACAATTTTTGGGCTAAATTCTAAATTTTAAAGTGAAAACCGGGCCTGGACAAAGAAAGAAAGATTCTAGAATAAGAAGAAATGGAGAACTATTCTGCGGCCCAAGGTAGGCCCAAAGAACGTTTTGCTTATCGTACGATTAGATTGGTACACAACGAAAGTTCCTTCATCCTTCTCTCAATCTGTGTCTCCTTCTCCCATCTCTCTCTGTGATCTGAACTGAATATTCCCCCGATCGAAATATCCGAATCCCTTCAAATTAACGGTGGAAAAAATGTCATCCACATTCAGCGGCGATGAAACTGCTCCCTTCTTCGGCTTCCTTGGCGCCGCTGCTGCGCTCGTTTTCTCCTGTAACCTAACCCTAGCGCCCTCTACTCTGCGTAATTTGTTCCATGAATCGATTTGATCGTTTGTAATTTGGCGATTTTTTTTTTTTTATCAGGCATGGGAGCGGCGTATGGTACAGCGAAGAGCGGAGTTGGGGTGGCGTCAATGGGAGTGATGCGGCCGGAGCTGGTAATGAAATCAATTGTGCCGGTTGTTATGGCTGGAGTTTTAGGTATTTATGGGTTGATTATTGCGGTTATTATTAGCACTGGTATCAACCCTAAGGCCAAATCCTATTACCTTTTTGATGGATATGCTCACCTTTCCTCTGGTCTTGCTTGCGGTCTCGCTGGTCTTTCTGCCGGTATGGCAATTGGCATCGTCGGTGATGCTGGTGTGAGGTATTCCTTTTTACACAATGCCCAATTTATCTTGTATTTCAATATACGTCTCTCAGTTCAATTATTCAGAAGAGATTGATTTTGCATAATTGGGTCGTTGATTTTTCCCTCTATCTCTGTTCTGTGTTATTTTTCTTTTGACTGATTTTGGCTAATTCTGTTTTTATTCATTAAACATATCCGAGGGATTCATTTTGGTGTAGACAGGCATGAACATGTTGTATCTTTAAGGCCAAAACTGACAATTTTGTATCTTTAAGGCCAAAACTGACAATTTTGTATCATATTGAATTGAACCCATATATAAATGCTCCTTGAGGAAGAACATATTGAACTTGGATATCTGGTTTTTCATAGTTATTTCCCTATGTTTTAAACGTGAGGAAAGGAGTAAATTTATAGACTACAGTTCAATTTTACATCTTATGAAAGTTTTGCAGCAGGATAATTGTCTTTATGTTAAATGTCTATGTGCGTCTGATACAATGGAATTGCTGTATGGTGCAGAGTCAAAGTTTAAGGGAAAGACAACCTTTTTATTCTCCTTGTCTTAGATTGCCCTCAGGAATCCAGTGTTTGCCTTGCTGCATATATATTTAAATGTATATAATGTGCCACTGCAGTTGCTTCTCATTTTTGCCTTAAATTCTGTGGTTTATATCACCGTTATTTATTCAAAAGAATGCTGGCTTCTTACATGCTTTCTAGATTCATTTCTATAATGAGATTGTGCAGTACTGAAATCTGATTTGATTTGATGATGTAAAGGGCTAATGCACAGCAACCAAAGCTTTTTGTGGGAATGATTCTTATTCTCATCTTTGCTGAGGCGTTGGCTTTGTATGGTCTTATTGTTGGAATCATCCTCTCCTCGCGAGCTGGCCAGTCCAGAGCAGAATAGAGTGCTTGAGACATGAGTTATTGGCTTCATTAGTTATCCTCATTCAGGTGAATGCTAATATGAAGTAGATGTTATCTTTCTAATTTATCATTGAGTCGTCTTCTGCAAGTTGCAGGCTAGTGAGTTTGAATTTGAAATAAAACTTGTCTTAAGTTGTTTTGTTATTGTTGTATTTTATATGTAAGCTCAGCCTGATGTAAACAGTTTACACCTTCATTTGATATTTCATAAATCTGTTTTAATGTTTACCATAATGGTGTTATTATATTTTTATGTTTCAAATTCTCTCTGCCTCTGTGTGTGAGAG